CCCCCCCCCCCCACGAAACTCTTCCTCTTCTCCCAGCTGCAAGTCATTCTTGAAGCTTTCATCCCAATAGGTCCAAAAGCAAATATCAGTATTTGCACCAATAATTCATACATAAACATTTGCTAAATCCATGGAATCCTGGTGTTGGGAGTGTCATGGAGGAGCAGATATGTCTTAATGTAAACTCCACAAGGTGGAAAAAAAATGCAAGGAATGTGTTTTTAAGTAAGATAAGACGGTATCCAACCTTTCACTTAATAACATGAAATATTCCCAAAAAATATTGTTGTTGATTTTTTCCCCCATTTTTTAGTGCCTCTCTCATGACAAAACAAAGTTAAAGCCAACATATAAAACAAGTATTTTATTTAAATAAGCATTCTTAACTCAGTCAGCCCCTGCCTGTCATCTCAACTGCTTCCCATAGACACACATGCAATAATATAAGTGTTTGATTGTTTTCCAGTTGTAAGATCAGCCTTTCTCTTTCAGCTGGTTTTAAGTTTGTCATGTGGATCCTACACACAAGTTCATTTGATTGGGAAATTTAATGCAAAGATCTTCAGAGTTAGCCAGCGGGAGGATTATGGCTGTCCATCGCCATTACGCTGGCATTAAAGCAAATCTTCTCTCATTCAAACGCATCCTTACCATCCTCTTTTTAATTTCATCTTTCTTACACCCACCCATCCTTTTTTTCCCCTTTTCTTTCGTCCACTTTGATTAGATATCTTGGCTTGATGTGTTGTTCCCAAAGGGACGTTTTCTGTGCATATGAAGTTTTATTTTATCTACCCCTTCAGTTTCACAGTATCATGAAGAATGATGTTGGCCACAAAGACAAACAGCGCTTAACATGACCTTAAGCTCTTGTGAATGCGATGAAATTAATCACAGCTTTAGCATTCGAGGGCCAAATAGGACACTGAGGTTGGATTCCCCTCAGTTAATGAAATGTGGACTGACAACACAGTGTGTGTTCTTTCATCATGTTCTAACATACTAAACGGACGTTTCATAAAATATTTTAGCATCTGTAAGACGTGTGCATACAGTGCTGTGCCAAAGTATTTACGTAGGTTATCATTGTACGATATTAGAATTTATTTGTTGATCTGAAATATTTAAAAGAGACAAAACTAGAAAATGAAGAAAAATGTAAAGGAGAAACTACATTTCAACAGTTCTGTAATTTGTGCATGCATGGCATTGTTTCTAGACATATAGTGTTGGCAACACTGTATTTTTGTTAATCTTTAAAATATGCCTTTATGTACCAAACTAAAGGCTGTATTCAGCTTTCTTTCTATGCTAACATTGTAAACTGAGAAGAGGAGCTCATGGAGTTGATGGTGAATATCATCACCTGAGTCCCTTTCAGCTCTTTGTTTTGGTTGCACGGACCAAAACAATGTGGGCCCCATAAAACCTGCAGACAGCTGTTCTCGGCTTACAAACCCAGGCAAGATTCTTCTTCGTTACCTGCCCCGAGCAAAATGGCAGACAGCCAAGGCAAACCGGTGAAGTTGATGTCTTTGTCGAAGCTTTAGAAAGGTGCATCAAGAAAAACATTTATGTCAAAAATCCAGACTCCACTAGGACACTCCTGGGTTGTTTCTGTGTGCTTGGAATATGCAACGTCTACCAGAGCAAGTAAACCTATCAAATGCTGCTGGGTGAAGCGTCTGGCAGTGATGTTGGTGCAGAGAGTTTAAATGAAGCTTTCAGGCATGTTATCTGAACCTGTGACATCATCTATGTGGTCTCAAATCACAACAATACCCAAACACTTTGAGCTTTTGTTGATGGCATTACTAGAGAGGTAATATATGACTGTTCTGACCCTAAAACAGAGACCACCCTTCAAAACATGGCCAAACCTGCCTCTGTCCCCAGCAGCAAAACCCCTCAGAGATCCAAACAAGAAGTTTGAGTCACTACAAAGATTATATTCAGGGTTTCCCCCAGAAAACCGGCTAAGCCCAGTGGTAGGGCCACTTTGGCAGCCCACCAAAAAAAATGTTAATGTTGACAAGAAATTTGAAAATATGACATAATGTAATGTAATTATGTGTTATTGTAAAACATTTGATTATAATAGTTAAACACCAACTATAGTGGGGATCACCAACCTCTTTGAGGCAGAGAGCTACTTCAGGGGTACAGAGGAACACAAAGGACTACTTGTTTGATGTAAACATAAACACGTTTACTCGGCTCACCTTAAATTATAGTATTAATAATAAAATAAAGTATTAATGCATATGTGTATTTACTGTATGTCTGCCTGATTACATCTAATCCCAATTTATCAGAATCAGTAACAACTGAAATTCAGTGTATGTTGTAAATATATTTGACAGTTTTGTAGAAATGAAACAATGTTTTTTTATTAAATACCAACTAATATTTTTAAAGAAACTGTAAACTATAAAATCTTCAAATCACATCCTCTTTGTATTAATCATCTTTGTAAAACCTCAGAAGAACTCCAATCCTTGTAAAATATAAGTAATGTAATAAAAAAAGACTTTTCACCAATTACTGAAAATAATGTGTTTTGCTGCTCTGGGAGGTAAAGCTATAAAATCTGTGCGCTAAAGGGTTAATGTTCAGGGGAGGGAGGGGCTACTCGTGTGAGTGAAGAGAGCCGACCCTGCAGCCGGATGGAATAGACCAATGGTTCCCAAGCTTTTTATCTTCTGACCCACAAAATATCCATGGCAAAAACTTGTGACCCCAAATATTACTGGTCTGAGTACACGAACTTTGTTAATAACCCTAAAAACACAGTTTTTTTGACAATCTAAACAGCTTATACACAAATATAAATACTTATTTATACTATTTTGTGATTTTGTAAAAGTTAAAGGGAAAATATTACATCAGCAATTATTTTATTACCCTTTAAATTGATTTCTGGAGATTATCCAAGGTGCTTCATGACCCATAATTGGGTCCCAAGACCAACTTTGGGAACCAAAGTGCAATGGTTCCCAAACTTTTCAGCTTTTGACCCACAAAATAACAGCAGCAGAGACCTGTGCCCACAACTGTTTTTGGATGATAAACATTTGTATCAGGTCAACTAAACATGGGCATAGTAAAAATATTTTCATACTACATTTATCCATTTTAAATATACTAACCTCACTCCTTTTGTAACAACTAAGGCAAAAATGTTATTAATTCAGAAAATCTTTTCAGGACCCCACCTTGATTTTTCGGGACCCCACTTTGGGTCCTGACCCCAACTTTGGGAAACACTGGAATAGAGAGACGACGGAGCAGAGGAATGTTTTTCTGTGGGTCCAGCGAGTTGCAGCTGCCCTTTTTATTAAATATTGAACATGCTTTGCGCGTCAACATTGGCTCTGAGTAAACAAACAAAGCTTAGCCTGGCGGGGAGACATGTAAAGCCTGGCGGACCGCCAGGCTTTACATGTCTCCCCGCCAGGCTTATAATGCACTGTGGGAAACACTGATATTCATCACTTAGACAGCATACAACCAATTTACTGTAGCCTGTTTAGCTCATTTTTGTACACATTAAATTAACAAATGCAGAGAAAGGATGAAGAATGTAAAACTTGGTTCTGTCTGTCCGCGTTACTCTTTGTTTGCTTAACACAAACACGGAGGCTGGGGAGAAACGGTACCCAACATCATGTTCAATCAAAGTAACTCTCTGAATCTGCTCCTTGAAAACCCAGAGGATGAGTTGGATTTATGTTCACACGTGCACTTTGCACACGCACACAGACAGACACACAGTGCTTAAAGTACTCACTGCTAACAAACACACTCAACGCTAACATACAAACCCTTGCGGGGCGCCAACATCAGCTAAGCTCTATTTTTAGACCATTGTTTTTTAGCCTCGTGATACATCAAGTTCATATGAGCAGCGCTACTCAGGGAAAGATTGGGGCAGCACCAAACTGATGGAGACTAATGACCCTGCTCTTTAATGGACCTGCGATAGCCTGAAGGTTCGTGAAGCCTGTTTCACATGTGAAGGTCTATTTTTTTACTGCAGCAGACCGAATGATAAAATCTGGAGAAAGTGACCGATAAACACTGTATTTGAACTCGGTGTTAATGAGCAAGGCAGAGAGCCGACACAGGCCGCTCTGGGATTCCCGATGTGAGTGTACGGAGAATATGGAAAGCTGAGCATTGCTAAAAATAATGTCATGACTCAGTCAGCATTCACCGAATACAGGTTGACAAAAATGACCTCATCAGCAAAAGTGTCTTTTTTTTAAATAAGAACAACAGTCATCCTGTACATGTGATTTTGCACATGAAGTTTTCCTAAAATGCAGCGACCCCCCAACTCCCAGCCCACACCTTTCCAGAGATGCAGTGAGAATAGTAAAGTCATTACAGCTCTAAGTCGATTTGGATTACAGGTTTTAGCGGAGCAGTGAAGGGTCGAGCATTAATTATGATTATTTCATGTACTGGGTTTTTATTTTACTCTGCCAATCCTGAAAAACGTGGATTATGACAGTCATACTAGCACAGATTTACACGTGCCTTTTTTCTCTCCAAGTTTTGTAACAAGTACAAGGCATTAGTTTGTCATGATCACTTACTTGTACAATTTTTTTTCCTACTTTAGTAGATTTTGTCACTAATACCAACTTCCTGTGTAATACAAATGGATTTTTAAAAAAACCTGAGATGTCTTATAAGTTTTTTTAAAATTATGTTTGTTTATTTTATGTTTTTTAAGACACAAAAATATATTTTTGTGGACAAAAAAATAGGCTAATCCCACTGAGATGGTGTTTAAAACCAAAACTTGTTAATTAATATGAGATGAACTCTTATCTTCCCCCGTCTGTCTCTGTGTATGTGCAGAGTTTTGCTGGTTTTTATGCTCTGCTCACCTGACGAGAACTTCT